GAGGTCTCAAAAGAGGTTGCTTGTAGCAACCCAACCGCCAGCGGATTCTCCAAATTCAACTTTACCCTGGAAGCTTATTTCCTTTGATGTATTTCTTCCTTCTAACACATGCCCCGAAAAGGGTATTTCCGCGTTGACACTAGTCCTAGTTAAAACGTGATTTGGCGATGCAGTCAGTTGCTTAAATTTAACCGAGTAGAATATTCCCTCATTTCTTGTTCCCCGACAACCGCCTTGGCTTTACCGGCTGACACGCATTGGTGTTGTAAAATAAGACGGAAGAAGAACCCGTACCCTACGCACATGTATTAAAAAGATGCCGGCTATTTTATTAGCAATTGTACAGCATTTTTGTTCTCGTTACCCAAGCAACATTCACTCCAGACCACTTACTGATACTTTTAAAGAACTGGCTTATTTACTCAGAAGGAATCATTCCCCACTGTTTATGGATCACATCCTGTGTCGTGGCCACTGCGAACATGAGACAAATGTATGTTTCAAACAGCAGGTGTGAGAATATGTATTGCCTACTTTCCGCTCTCAACACTGCACTCCACATATAACAAGTGATTTAGTATGATCCCAATCAGCCATTAACTGTTGCGACAAGTGTGGTTGGCCTAGGATTGGAGGTTTGGCTAATATTTCAGATGTTCCGGGTTCGAGCCGCCGTAATTCTATCGGTACCTGATGACAATCAGTGAGAACGAGACCGGTCGTGTTGATAGGAGATAAAACCTAACAAGCATCTGTTTCAAGTGCGGTCCAGTTAACTGAATTGAACCAGTTCACTACAAGGTGAATTGCGGTCCCGAGAAAGATTGCACATCGCAATCCAATCACAGAGCGAGTGCGAGTGAAGCAGGGGGATTCACATATAGTTGCAGACTCTGCTCACACGCAGGTAGAGACGAGCAGACACTGAGTGTGCGAGTACCCGGACAAGCTGGTAGGGATCATGGAGGAGTTTATGTGATGGGCCTCGTGACAAGCTGCCATGCGGAACTAGATTTCTACCGGGTAGTAGTGCACTCCCCTTGTGCCCTATTGGTCAATACGTACATAAAGTGCATGCGGGAAGGCATGTGAAGTCAGTTGACAACCCGATTTGATGTCGGATCGATGCCAAAATGATTTGTAGGACATTCTACGCACCTGTGTCACAATCGTGATGCACGTGCTTGGGATGTTGCGCACAGCGCTTGCAATCCAATGGCTGAGAGAAGGCGGCCCATTCAGTTGATCGTGGTTGCACGCCATACACCATTTGCCACGATGCATGAAATGCATTCATCAAAGACTGCAAACAGCTCTCAGGTCATGTCGTCAGGGAAAACGTTTCAGATTTTCATGCTAAAGTATGCCTGTGAAAACACGATAGAAAATATCAGTGGGCCAATCAATAACCATAGTTTTGTTCGCCTTTGGTTCGGTACATTTGCCCAACCGTGCCCGAACTGTAAAAGGACCCACTGCAGTCTTGTCCGGCTAGTTGTTATTTCTGGGGTTGTCCGGTACGACATGATAATGGTTGTTGTGCAGTCTTGTTATAATGGTCTTTTAGTAGGAAGATTGGTCCGTTGGTAAGTCGTCGGCGATGTACTGTTTTGCTTTAGCAAGCCTGTGACCTTACACTAGCTGAGTAGACAAGTTCGAGTTACGAAGCGATCACATTTGCGTGGCCACTTGCTTGACGAGTGTCGACGAACAAGCAGCTGCTCGTGCACAAGGGTTACTCGTGCTGAGAGTGCTTGATGAGCATGAAACCAGAGTATATGGAATGAGAGCTGAAGATAACGCAGACACTATCAAGCTGTATTAACTGCAGAAGACAATCCCAGTGCTAATATTCTTTAAAAGATTCAGCCCTCGTGCTTATCCACTTCAAAGGCTGGAAAATCTAAGTGATGTAAAGCATTTGGGAAATGAGTGATGTCCCTACTTTCGTCCACCTGGTTATGGCTTTTAAACTTTTGATCATCTTACCAGTTTAATCGACATTTCACTTCGTTTTTGCTGAATACTTCATTTTATTCCTTGCTTTCACTTCTTAACCAAACGTTCGTCTATTAATACCACCACCATTACTGTTATTGACTTGGTCACGTGAGTGAAGACCCCTGTGCCCGCATGGCAGATCAGCTAAGTGGTGGAGCTGAGCACAGTCAGGACACCATCTGGCTGCATGATTGGTGAACAATCAGCCCTATCGATGCGCTGAATTTGGTGAATCCAGCACTCGTTGGAGCTGGTTGCATAGCGTACGCGGTACTGAGTGACCTTGACTCGGCTTAGAGAATTCGTATTTGCACTGTTCGAAGTACTTGTTACTGTCGGCTAGCTTTTTCTTTGTCCGAAACGCAGTGGGCGGGATACTTTAGACTAAATGATGCAGGACAATGCGTAGCCATCATCACCTACTTAAGAGATTGATGCTAGACGTTCCATTTCAGAACACTGAAATCCCGATTTTCGGTGATACTTTGCTCAGTATGGCGATGTGATCACACAAGGAGGGTAGCAAATGGTGCGGTGCTCTTTGTAATTGCTCTAACGCGATTCATGTAGGGTGACCACCGACTACTGGACATCCGTTCTAATGTAGTAGACTCCGGTTCCTCCCATATGTTGCAGAAATTCGGTTGGGCTACAGAACCCATAGCTATCCAGTCGAAGGTACCGCGCACAAGGTACCGCAGATTTAGTACTTCAGCCGGAGGCAAACTGTCCCCACCTAGTAGGTCAGTCAGCTTGACCATTGTGCAACTCTCGGAATTCTTGAATACTGCGTTATCACTTTAAAATACAACACCATGCATGAAGCAAGATGTAGATAATTTTTGGCCACTTCGCCTGGTCATTAATGTTAGGTGGATAGCTGACATGGTATCTCATTCCAACCGGACACGGACGGTGGATTGGTTCATCAGACTCACACGGAAACTGTCTGAAGATATTGGAATGACGCAAACAATTATCCCTCAACTAATCCAAATAGAAAAACACTGAAATCTTGATGGTTTTCTAAGCATTAGAAGTTTTATCTTGCGCTTGTGGGCTAACCTCACAAATATCTGAGCGGCGCAATGGGTCCACAAGAGGCCATGGCTGCTGGTCGCAGTTGATCTAACTTCATAACAAACGCCAAGCATGCTGATTTCATAACCACTTTGATCCCTTCCGCGTGGTGCAACATATTCGACTGCTCATCAGAGAAAAAATCATATCTTGTCTTTACTTCAGGAGTATTCTCGACAGGCAATAGCATTGTGAATTTCCTTCCTGAATGTGATCACAAAACAGTTAGTTGCAAATCTCACTAAACCACTGCATACACGTCCGGCAATGGTCCAACACTACCTACGAAATGTCAACCGGAGAACCAGTAGTGGACCGTTGAGCGGAAAGTTCGAGTCCAGAGAAAAGATACAAACTAAAGTAAAAACTCACAGTCAAGGAGCGGTAAGACACCAATGTGGTATAAGCCCTCCTTGGTTAACGTGTGTCTGAAGTCGACTGGTGATTCAAAGCTAAATACCCAACCACTTAGAAAGACGAATCATCAAGACACAAGCAAGCAGCTCTAA